GAAATGTGAAGCGATACCTTGTGATCAATTTGAGGTTGCATTTCAAGCCGTTGAACTCTGGATCGCTGACCGTGCAGTTCTCCCCGTCGAGAACTCTCTCGGAGGTTCCATTCACCGGAACTACGATCTCCTCCTCCGTCACCGTCTCCACATCGTCGGAGAAGTTCAACTTCCGGTCCACCACTGCCTATTAGCACTTCCAGGCGTTAGAAAAGAGTACCTAACTCGAGTCATAAGCCATCCACAAGCCCTAGCTCAGTGCGAACTCACTCTCACAAAGCTCGGCCTAAACGTAGCTCGCGAAGCCGTCGATGATACCGCCGGAGCCGCCGAATACATAGCTGCAAACAACCTCCGCGATACAGCCGCGATTGCATCCGCACGCGCCGCGGACCTCTACGGTCTCCAGATCTTAGCGGAAGGTATCCAGGACGACTCTAGTAACGTGACTCGGTTCGTGATGCTAGCTCGTGAACCGATCATTCCTCGAACCGACCGGCCATTCAAAACAAGCATCGTATTCGCCCATCACGAAGGAACAAGCGTCCTTTTCAAAGTTCTATCGGCGTTTGCATTCAGAAACATAAGCTTAACGAAGATCGAGTCACGGCCGCACCGGAACCGGCCGATCCGAGTGGTCGACGATGCGAATGTAGGAACGGCGAAGCATTTTGAGTACATGTTCTACGTAGATTTTGAAGCTTCAATGGCGGATGTTAGGGCTCAGAATGCGTTGGCTGAAGTTCAGGAGTTCACATCTTTTTTGAGGGTTTTGGGAAGTTATCCAATGGATATGACTCCTTGGTGCCCTTCCCGTGAAGATTAATTCAATGAATAAAATAATTACTTTTGTCTATTTTGTAATTAGTATTTCCAAAGAAGGGAAAAGAAAAGGAAACACCATTTACATTAAAAAAAAATTTCCCTGCTTTGTGTTTTTTATTTTTTATTGCTTTATAGTTTGTGGAGGTATAGTTTATGTTTCCTTCAAATCCGAAGGTAATTACATGTTTACTACTTAAATCTCTTTCAAAATTGATGGTAAATGTTAATAATCCTTGTAAATGTTAATACTCAAAATTTTCCAGTTTGCTACTTTAGTATTTGTATTTTTCCACGCCTAGTTTGCTAATTTATGGTAGAGTGGGAAAATCGTGTAAGCAATTCTTGTGAATTTTTAAGACGTGTGATTTATATGCATTTTCAAGACAACTAAGATGTCATTTGGTGGCAGTAAGTTATTCTGAGAGAATACTGATTAAATTATAGTATGATGATTAATTCATAACAGGAGTACTTTTATTGGTAGATGTTTGATGCATTTATATCTATCTATATTATTATAAAAACACTAATATTTCACGCTAAATGTTGAACGACTCTCTTAAATATTTTATTACAAAGATAGTTCTATATTGGATAAAATAGTAATCTAACAATAATTTGCCTAATATTTAGCGAGGAATTTGATACCAAATAATGATAGAATTCTTTCAAAACTAATAAGCGAATGTAAAGTTCTAATACTATACTAATTCTTGGTGGGCAATTATATAAAACAATAATAGAATCCCACATACTCTAGAGTCCCAAATCCATAGCAATCCCACGCTTAATGAAACACATATATTGCCTCTGTACAAACAGTTTCGTTGTATTCACACCACTAGTATACGTACTTGCGCGATGCGCGAATCAATTTAAAGGAAGAAAGAGTGGAGAGAAATAATAGAAACATATGTATATTGCCGATTAAATTTAGCGAAAGAAATCAAAAGAATTACATATAAATTTCATTGGAGCCAATATTGGGACCCAAGTATGATTTAAGACCAAATGACAGTACTATTCTAAGGAATTTTTCCAATAACTGTGAAGTTAACTTAGAAGTATGGTGCTCTCCAAAACCTATAAACAACAACAACCAAAAAAAAAAAAAAA